TATTCTTTAGAATATATATCATAATTTTTTTCGTAGACCCATATTCCACGACACCTCCCAACAACTCCCTCCAATAGAATAATATGTTAAAAAATTATATCAGAATAATATTAGTACAATTTCTAAATTCTTTACCTTTCTCAATAATACTAAAGACCTATACAATACCTTCAAATCAAATATATTAATTTTACTAACTCGTTGACTCTCCATTTCAAGAAATAAAGAAACCGAAATTATAAATCAAATAAGAATTGAATCCCAGACTTCCTTTCAATATCCACATACATATCCCTATCCGATATTTCCAATACTCCTCATCCTCGCACCCAAGCTTCGATATATTCCCCATCATTCCCACGAATATATATCATCTCCCGCCCTCCCCCACCGCCTCATTCCTATCATCACCCACAATTTAAATTTCCACCTTCCGATATTTTTACGACAAAAAATTCTTTATAAGAAATATATAATTTAAGAAAGAACGCAATCATATTTTTAATTTTTAGTAACTACTATATTATATCTTATCGAATTTATAAATCTATAAAATAATGAATTTTCTAAGAACTCAAAACGGTATGAAATCTTTTTAATTCAATCTTCATTTGAAATAAATCAATATAATGACCCCCATCATTTCAAATACCAGAGAACATCATTTATTTATCTATTATAAACTCTACAACCATAATAATTCAAAAATACTTTCTTGAAATAAATAGAGAATCTAATATCAATTTTTTATTTATTAGTTTAAAACTAATAATATCTCAATGAATCAATAATAATATCTATTTTAGAATTTATTCATATTAGAATTAGTAAATCATTCTAGTAATCAAAATGAAAATCATATTTCTTATTATAAATTGCAATTTCCAATATTATATATTCGTAAAATTTTAGTAAAAATATTTCTATATAACCTAAATTCAAAATATTCAAACAGAACTATCAATATACTCAATAATGAAATCTCAACAGACTTAGTTCCCGAAATAATAAGATTATCAACTATCGATATGCTCTTAAAAGCATGTAATATTATCTAATGTAATAGAAGACCATATATTAGATATATTATACCATGCTATCTGTTGATTTGACATGCCCCAGACTAATTACATAATATTTTCTGCAGATTTGTTTTTCGCGAATGTTTCGCGGACATTCTTCTATATCTTAAGTCCTTGTAACTATCCGAAGATAACGAGCTTCAGAATCAATGTTTATAGATGCAGAATTGATAATCGGAGAAAATCAATATCTTCTAAGATGCATATTTTTTGTACAACTCACCTCACCTCATTCTCGTTCGTTTCATGAAAAAACGTGCAGCTTGGAGAACGAGAGCCGTGGTTCAGCTGGCTTACCACCTCGCCCTTCTCCCAAGATCTTGCGCCATGTGCCGAACAGGACAGCAGCCATGCCGCACTGTTCAGCAAGTCTGCTTGGATGCTCATGTTGCCCTTCCAACAAAGGGGCATCTGCAGGTATCATTCTGCTCGAGCGGAAACCAGCACTGGAGCGTTTCCTGACCATCAGCGTGTGCGACTGCGAATTCGTTAGGCTGGCCGTGCAATGATGACGCGATTCATTTCGGTGATTTGCCGGTCAATCTCATCCATCACGACGTCGTAGCCTTTTGCCTTCAAGAACTCTACGCGAGCTGTGTGGATCGTTGAGCGCCCGAGTCGATTGGTTTCCCCCTCTAGAAGCCAGGGCCATCTCTTCCAGGACCAGTTTGGCAGCCAGGGACGATCGGGCAGATTGGGCTGTGTCTCATAACAACAAGGTACCAGAACGAGAGGTCTGCGGTTCTGCTCTGCAGCTAGGATCATTTCGTCAGATAGGAAACTGCAGGCATGGCAAGAAACAATTAGCTCGCTTGGAGCGACTGTCAAAGTTGACTTGCGAAGGTCTGCCTCCTCCCATCGAATCTGATGGGCAAGGAAAGGCCATTCCTTCTCAACGCACTGCGCCAGTTCGCGTGCGATGCGGGGTCGCTGCTTGTCCGAGCATCGCACATGACGACGTCGGTTTAGCAGGACGAGGAACACAGCAAGAAGGCCGCAGCCAGCACAAGGCTCCACGATGTCGAGGTGGGATGGGAAGTAGCGATTCCTTGGCTCATGGGTGTCCATGTTACTACATATAGCACCCCCAAGCCATTTTATTTCGAGAACTAAACCCCAAGTCTGCTTCCTCAGTGGAACGAGCTGTTCTGCCTAGCCTCGCTAGAGATGCAACAGCATGGGCTTCAAACAGCTCTTTCCGAGGCAAACGTCCCGGCAAGCCTGCGCTTATGACAGAGCCCACCTGACACAGCAACTGGTCAGCATCTCCAGTCTGCTCCGACAGCGAGAAGCAGCGAGCGTCGCCGGCTTGTAAATAGTTCCTCGAATTCATTCGCCATTGAGAAACTGGTAGAGAATGTCGCGCTAATTGTTGCGCACCAACCACGCCGCACAAACAATACGTGGCCAAAAACCTCATGGATGTGGTGGGTCTGCTCTTCCGCAGACGCTTTCCTATGCTTTCCTGGGAAATGCCTGCGGGATCATAATTTGAGTTGCAAGTGTCTAGCAGCGGGCAGTACGGATACTTTGGGGCTGTGAATTGCGAGCTTGAAGGCGATGCTGAGGAAGCTGACGAGGATGCCTGCAAAATCATGCCCACGGAGAAATGTACACGCAAACTCTGGGCTTTTTGTCGGCAGGATGCGGTATCCGCAACCTTCTGATCTGTGCGCCTTAGGCGACTCTATCAGATACCCCCACGCCGTTCTTCGGCACGGATAGTCATTAACGACACTGCACGGACTCACCTTGCAGCCGGACATTAACCGTTCTGCCATTCCGACAACCAGTATAAAGTCTGAATCGAGCTCAATCAACACACACGCTTGATGCAACGATGAACTGACTTGATGCTGGCTTCAGAATGCTCTCTGTTGGGTCTGCTCGACCCTGCCACCTCATTTCCTGCTTTTGCTGCTCTTGCTCGACCTGCTGCCCGGAATTCAGACCCTGATGGTCCGCATTCGCTCCGGGGGGCTGAATAGAACGAGCACTCGACTGAACAGGAGGATTGAAGCCCACATTTCGCATTCACGCGTTGCTGTCAGGGGGCCTCTCTCCTGGATGGAAGTCTCAACCTGCTGCAAGTTGGCCAAACCGAGGCTGCAGCCCGCTTCGAGACTTCTTTTTCTTCTTCTTGCGCCGCCTAGGATGAAGCGCCAATTCTACTCGACTGCCCATGTCTATATCCTCAGACAATATATGGGGGATACATGCAATACCGGTAACTGCATTTGCATCGTGTCACCACCACACACCGCCCAGAATGATTGTTTAGCGTAATCGCAACCAGCGTGGCAAACATTCGATATCTACCTGAATTCGTCAGAATGCGAACAGTACACAGGAAAAAACTTGTTAGGATAGGGTCCACCGCTCTGGGAACCTCGGGCACGGGCCCTCGCAAAGCTGCTGTGAAGTCCTCAGCGCAGAAGGACGTGCGGGACCGCCAGGCATGCAGATGCAGCCCTCTAGTTCCACTGGTTGTTCAGGGTGAGTGGTCGTCCTGCGCCCTTACCACCTTCCTTTCGTTCGCCATGCTTCAAACAACTTCAAGGCTCATGACAGCTTGCTGCATTCATGCGCGTCCGCAATCCCTGAGGGTCAGGCGTGCAAAGGTAAGCTGAACAAATGGGGCGCCTGCAACCCACCAGCAATACTAATTACATCGCTTCGCTCAAAGTTAAAGGAATCCCTCAACAAGCCTGATTCATTGCCTGAAAAGACAGACATGCTGTGCTTCGGCTGCAACAAACTCAGAAACCTCGCGATGATGGATGCAATTCTGCGCTGTGCCTCCAGCGACATCTTTTTCGGAGCAGTGCGTACCTTTTGCTTTTAACTCCAGCACTCTGCCCTGTTTAAGGTTCTGCATACTGCACCGATCCATCTTTCATGATGAGCCCTGCCGGCGTTTACATGCTGTTGCTTGCGGTCTGAGGCCACGGTTCCACGGTTCCAAAGCCAAAGCCAGCTCTACCAGAGTGGATGCAGTCTCGATCCAAGAACAAGTGTTGCTGCTCATGCATTCTAACTAAGGAAACAAACAACAACGATGGCCTGTCTGAGCTCGCTGGTCAGGAGCTCCCATTCGTAATCAAGCCAGCGAGATTACAGTAAGGTACAACGAATGTCGTTCTGCTCCGGCCAAGCCGCGCAATGTTCCGCGCTGTTAGATTAGAAGCATCCTAGAGCGGATGCAATACATACATAAATGAAAGTGAGCAAACGACCGTATAGATAAAGACACCAAACAGTAACTTATAAGCCAATGCATTACTCAATCAAGTGTACTGGTACGTATACAGGTATATGTGTATACGTATACGTATCCGTATATGTATGTGTATATATATATATACACATAAGACATGAACGGACCTTGGTCAGGTTCCGGCTTGCCGTCAAGGTCCTCGGATGGTCCTGGCTGGTTACAGCGCAAAGACATGGGACGTTTGAGGGCCATCAAAGGCTGATCGAAAGTTCTGTGGCCAGTGCTGGTAGCCTCTGATTGGAGGTACCGAACAATGGAGAATGGATGAGTACAAATAGCGTCAGACACGTATGACTTAATGCCTGCATGAACAAGACACTCTTCGGCATGCACACGAGTTGTAACACAAGACGTCAGGCAGGATGAGGCTGCCGCCTCGGCACCGGCTGTTGCCAAACCCGAATGCAGCCCCGTTCATGATCTGTATATGTTTTTGATACATTTCGCAGATTTGAACCCGACATCCATCTTATGGAGACACGTTGGTGCCACAGCCAGGAAGCAGCACAGGTGCACCGTGTGGAGGACATGTCGTGCACTAATGACAAACTTTGTGGAAGACAGCAAAATGAGCGACTTGCGCTGTCTGCAGAAGAAGACAACAAACTTGAAAGAACAACTCCTGGGCTGGCTTTGGCTGGTTACCAAGTGATTAACTGTGCGATGATCCAGGCATCATCTAGTACCTGATGCACAATGTCCTCTCCGGCCAGTTCTTTCAAGATCTCCACAGCAAGCTCCGTAAATGCCGCTGCCTGCACTCTTGCTCTCGTGCTACCAACAAAAGCAGCATGCACAAGGATAGGTACAGCAACCGTCATGACCGTATGGCTTTGCAAGCATTAGAGACAATTAGAGATGATTTCCGAGCAAGTGCTGCAGCAGACTTTGTACCCCAGCCTCGGTGTGCCGGTCCAACGCAGCGAGGCAGCAGGCGAGATTATTGTAAGAAGTGGCCGTGTCGATGGTATCCCTTGGGGTGACAGAAGGCATCATCTCGGCAAAGCAGGACTCACGTAGTCCCTCACGTAACTCCCCAAGCCCACTCGTCTCCAGAACGACCAAGGCCCAGGCCCACCGAGGGCCTTCTCACGAATGCTGCGGGCCCGCCTGCAGCAACCGTCGACTTCACAAGCCGGTCAAACGTAGCGATGCTGTTTAAGAAAACAGTACATGACGGCATTGCGATCACCACGCCGCGAATTGAACTGCTGATCCCTTCTCGAAATGTTGAACAGATGATGATCGACGTCTTCTCCCTCAACAGTCTCCATGCATTGCATCGCTTGGACCTCCTGAGGACACCGCCTACTACCCTGTCCCGTTCCTTTTAAGGCGGCTGCATGTGGAGGCGCGTGGCATCTTCAAATCTGCCGATGTGGAAGGCCACTCGACCGAGGCCTCGGGCAAAGGACCCTCCGGATTTTTTCACTGGGGAGTTGCCAGTAAATCCTACGTAGCTCCTAGCATAACAGAAAAATGGATGTCTCTGATTAGTTTTGTCCAGCTTCGTGTTCTCAATGCAAGCGTTGAGAGCATGTTACAAACATGCAGTGCAGCTTGAAACGGCCACTGCATCTGTTTCCTTAAGCTTCGAAGCGGATTGATTGGGCTTGCAAAAAGCGCGGATGCGTGCAGTGGACCATGGACCGTGTTAGACATGAAGCAGTCAAAGTAGTCAGAAGATGTCAGAGGGCAACCGCGCGGAGGCCAGCGGCCGAGCTCGGCACCGTTCCACACCATCGCCACGTTTGCATCCTGTGCCGGAAGCCTGCGACTTGTTGCTGACACATCTGACCCTAATTTCAGAGGTCACGTGATGAGTCCTGAGTCTACGGAAATTCCCACAATGTCTGAAACAGACCCCGTGCCATCCCCACCTCCGGCTGTGTTCCAAAGCACGCCAGAGCAGCTGCGCAGCGAGCTCATCCTGCCAGTCATGGCCAGGCCCGACTCTCAAAGATCCTTCAAAAGTCTTTCTCCTCGTTCTCGGTTTTGAAACGATGCAAACAACTCGTCCTCCTGGACGGTAGAGTGTAGGGATGCTAGCTCACAGAAGAAGAAGAGCGCCGCCTGGCATGCACTTTCTGGCTACGCTATGGACTTGCCAGCTTTCTGCCAGGCCTGTGGAGGGATTCGCTCGAGGTCCTCCTGATCACCCAGTGCAGACGGAAAGTCGGTCTTGGGGTTGTACTTCCTTGCGCAAGGCGCGAGCATTCATGCCACTGTCTGCAAACGCGGGTTGACTCCTCATAACCAACGACTTCGTATGTATGTATGTATGTATGTATGTGTCAACCAATGTGTGTAAGACTGTACGCAGAAGCAAACGACACCCAATTACACAGTAAAGAAGGTAGCGACACAAATAAACAAACAGCGCACACACACACATGCACGTAACAATATCGATGTATGCATACACCTGTGTGTAGGAACCATGTATACCGCAACTACAAGTTCGCTATGATAATGCTACGCTAGCAGTAGCAGCAGTAGCAGCAGCGGTGGCGGTAGCGACAGCAGTGGCAGCAACAGCAGCAGCAGTAGTAAGTAGCAGTGGTGGTGGTAGCAGTGGCAGTAGTGAAGGTAGTAGCAGTAGCAATATCGGCGGCAGAAGCAGTTGCCGTAGTCGTCGTCGTAGTAGCAGCAGCAGCATGAGTAGTAGCAGGAGTACTGCAATTTACGAGTGCTAGTAGTAGTAGTAGTAGTAGTAGTAGTAGTAGTAGTAGTAGTATAGTAGTAGTAGTAGTAGTAGTAGTAGTAGTAGTAGTAGTAGTAGTACTATTACTATTACCTACTACTACTACTACTACTACTACTACTACTACTACTAGTACTAGTACTAGTACTAGTACTAGTACTAGTACTACGTTATCGTCGTCGTCGTCGTCGTCGGTCGTCGTGGTCGTAGTCGTTGTATTGTGGTTGCTGTGGTTGTTGTCGTTGTTCTTCTTGCTATTGCTACTGTTATTGTTGTCGCTATTTTTCTTGTCGTTGTCGTTGTTGTTGTTATCGTTCTTGTTATTGTGGTTGTGGTTGTTGCTGTTGCTGCTGTTGTTGTTGTTGCTGCTGTTGTTGTTGTCGTTGTCGTCGTGGTTGATGTTGCTGTTGCTGTTGCTGTTGCTGTTGCTGTTGCTATTGTTGTTGTTGTTGTTGGTGGTGGTGGTGGTGGTGGTGTTGGTATTGGTGTTGGTGTTGGTGTTGGTGTTGGTGTTGGTG